TTCCACCCAGTTGCTTAAGTGGAGATTGAAAATACCAAAGGACTTCAGTTCTTCGTCCCCAAGAGCTCATTTCACTCAAAGGTGGGACAGAATGTTTAGCTAGCACACGAATAAATAGCTTGATTCGTGTACGTGAACGGGAATGAACAGGTGAAGGCTTCCCTGGCTTGTGTCCGCGGGCCATGCCGGGGCTGTGGCCGGTACGCCCCAGAGCTGAGCCCACCTGGGGCCAGGGAGGATGGACTGGGGCAGCCTCAGGAAGGTCCCAGAACACCCATTTATTAACGTGCAGTGGGAACCGAAGCAGTAGGACAAGCCAAGTGCTTCTGCCCCTTTTTGCTTTTCTTGACTCTAAAATGTGAGACCTCCCTGGGATGCGGTGGTCCCTCCAAGGGACTGACGCAGGGTAGGGACATGGGTCGTGGCTAAACTCGCTGCGGGGAAGGCCCCGGGAGCACATGTCTGCCTCTGAGCCTCACAAATGAGGCCAGGCAGGCAGGGCCGGACGAGGCGGGGAGTGGCCCGGGGAGGGGGGGCGGTGCCCAGAGAGGGTCTGCCTCTGCCCCGCGGTGTCCGCCCAGAAACCTGGTGGGAACAGAGCGGCGGAGCGGAGATGCAGACGTGGGGCGGGTCGACAGAAGGGGTGGGGTTTCAGGAGCGGGGGCGGAGTTGACAGGGGGAGTGGCAGGGTGAGGGGCGGGGCTTTCAGGGGGAGCGGGCGGGTGGAGCCAACAGGGGCGGAAGCGAGGTTGACAGGGGAGGGAGGGGCGGCAGGGGCGGGGCAGGGGCGGTGGGACGGGGCTCAGGGGAGGGGCGTGTGGAGCCTACAGGGGCGGGAGCGAGGTTGATAGGGGTGGGGCCGGGATGGGGGGGCGGAGATGCAGGGGCGGGGCAGGGGCGGTGGGACGGGGCTCAGGGGAGGGGCGTGTGGAGCCTACAGGGGCGGGAGCGAGGTTGATAGGGGTGGGGCCGGGATGGGGGGGCGGAGATGCAGGGGCGGGGCAGGGGCCGCGGGGTGGGTATGCAGGGGTGGGGCGGGTGGAGCGGACAAGGAGGGAGAGAGGTTGACCGGGGCGGGGCTGGCAGGGGAGACACAGGCGGGGCCCGCAGGGGCGGGGTGCTGGCTGAGCGGGTGCGGCAGGCGGGCGGACCTGGGAGTGGCAAGTCCTCCCCTGCAGGTGCTGCGTGGGCGGCGGGTTCCACTTGGCACTTGGTGGGGGTAGGGCGTGTGGGGGCAGTTGAGAGGCTGCGGGGCCAGACGAGCCGTGCGCCTCCGCGCAGGCGTGCCCTATGCAGTCTGCCCCGGGAGTCGAGCGCGCTTGGCTGTGCGGATCGAGAGGAAGGGACGGCCCCGAGAACGACAGGGAGTGAGGGGTTGGGGGCATCTGTGGACGGATGGGGGCGTCTTCTGAGGGGCTGAGGCAGTGGGGCCCCTGATCAGACCCTGAGAGGCCTGCAGACCTCCCACCGCACCCGCTCCAGCACAGCATGGGACATAGAGGCACAGACCGCGGTAATGGGGCCACGGTCCGGTCCGGCACTGCATCCAGGTGAGGCCAGCCCCGTGCTGCCTGAAGCTCCAGGGGCCCATGGACCACGTGGCAGGCTGCTGCCAGGGCAGCTTGTCGGGGAGAAGCTGGGAGGGTAGGGGCCTGTGTGGAGGAAAGGGCAGGGAGGAAGGTGGGAAGAGGGCTGGCCTGGTGGGGAAATGGCTCTGAACCCACAGGTTGCCACACTTCCTGCCAGGTGCCCGCTGTTGAACTCACGTTTTAAAGTGAGTTGAATAAAGCGTTCAGATCATGAGGCCCCTGGGCAGCAAGCATGTTATGGGGCTTTTAAAAAGTCACGTCGAGCTAATTAAAAAAGGAAAATGTGCTTAGCGTCCTTGCTGGTTTGAAGGCTTAAAAAAGATCCTGGTTACTGTGGGGCCGTCCTGGGAGCTCAGAGCACCGAATAGCCCTTTGTCAGAGGCATTGTCTCTTCTGTTGGGATGATAGTAAGTCCCCAGGGAGGGGCGTGCGGACCTCAGCTGGACTTTGGGGCCCCAAGCGGGTGGCCCAAACGCACATGCTTCTTCGTACTTGCGGTTCTGGGGGACTCCTCGTGACAGCTCAGTATTTGAGGACCCACTGGCAGAGCAGCTGGAGAAGGGGGAGGCAGAGGGGCTGGGAGGGGAGGTGGCCCATGTGGGAGGAGCAGTTTCTGAGTCCTTCAGGGACAGCTGAGGGTGAAGGGGCAGACACCTAGTGTGGGCAGAGATTGGGGGTCCACAGCGACCAGAAGCCTAAGGAGCACGGGTCACCTGCAGCCGCACTGGCCTCCGGGCTCACCCAGCTTCGCTGCCCGCCAGCCAGCTTCTCCTTGCTGCTCAGTGCCCGGATTGCCCTGCGCGCCTGGCTGGCCTCTCCCACCAACTACACGGCATCTACCATTAGAGGCTGGAGCCCCAGGCCCTGCTCCTCGTCCTGGACTGGGTTTGGATGGGTGTGGGGTGCAGATGTCCAGTGGGGGAGGGGGGGCAGCTCTTTCTATAACTTTCCTCTAGCTGGGCAGCAGGGACCACCGCAGAGAGGTTTCAGGAAGTGCCCTCCCCACACCTGCCAGGCAGGACACCGGGAGGAAAAGGCCTGTGTCCAGTGAGCTCCCCATGAGCTCCATTATTGAGTGCCTGCTGGATGCACTGTGTCTACTGCTCTCGTTTCCTCTGTATCTGACGTCTGTCTGCTGTGCCCTTAACAACAGACCCTCACCATCCCAGGCATAGAGCTTCTGTGCTTCTGTCCCGCCCCGCCCCCCCCCCCCCACATGCAGAGGCAGCCTTGGGCAGGGTCTGCATAGCTGACTGTCCAGAGCGTCCTCTTGGGCGTCGGCTCTGGGTCCTTTTGCGTGCGCTCTGCCCTATGCTCAGGAGGATTGCCAGCTCCCCGTTGTTCTCTCCTGCGCTTCCCCTGTCTGGACAGCAGCTGGGGGAAGGGCCTGATGGGTCTGGCCCTGCTCCCAGAGTGAGCCCACCTCTGTCCTTGGGTGCCTCCCCAGGCGCCCTGCCTGCCACAGGCTTGCCATAAACATGCTGTCCAGCTGTTGGCAACTGCCAGCTGGGGGTCAGCCCTGCGCCGTGAGGTCACATTCAGGCACAGGAGGTCCTGACTGTCCACAGGGGCTTGCAGAGCGCCTGCTCGGGCAAAGCTGGTGGTGGCTGCTCAGGCCTGCAGATGCAGCATTGTTCCTCCCTGGAGCAGGGGTCAGCAGGGGCGAGGCTGGTGAGCACCAGGCCAGGGCAGTGTCGGGCAGGTGACCACGCAGCGCCTCACTCACCCTTCGGGCAGCCCTGGGAGCTTTCTCACTCCTTACACAGATGAGGAAAATGACACTCAGCCCAATGGAGTGTGGCCAAGAGGCCACAGAGCAGGATTAAAACCCAGTTTGGCAGGAGGTTGGTGGCTTTTCTCCTTTGAGGGTCAAAAAGTCATGCTTCCCTTATATTTTTTTCTTACACAGCAAGGAAGATCACAAGGGCAGAGATTGTAGAGTAAATAGTGCGCGTCCCCCAACCTGCCTGCCCCCCAAGCCCTTGCCCAGAGGCAGCCACTGCCCAGTTCCTGGGTGGACATCGATGAAAGCAGAGACGCGGCCCTAAGTGCCACCATTGCGAATGACGATCGGGGTTGTTAGGGTTAGCGTGCTACTTAGTTTCTTCCAGGGAAACCAATAGTACATTCTGACCAAGTTTTATCTCAAGAAGGCTCACAGAAGTCCCTCCTTGGGAGGGCCTGAAACTGGAGAACGCCTGACAGCACGTGCCATTCTGAGCCGCATGCGTGTTTGTGATTTTGCTGAACTTCCGAGTCAGACGCAGGGACAGACACAGCAGGGACGGTGAAGTGTGCCAGGTGTGACTGCACGCTGTGAGAAAGCCGTGTGGACATGGCCTCTCAGACCCTCTGACTGCCCTGCACTACCTCTTCCCATGCCAGCCTGACGGGATGACAAGCCCAGTGAGGTGGTGACAGAGGTGGCTCTTGAAGGCCTGTGACACCATATGAGGCGGCTGCTGACCTGACAGTGTGTCGGAAGGAGTCTTTGCTTCTGGTCGCCCGCCGGTAACTGAAGCTACTGGAAGGACACCACGGATGCGGGGGGCTGTTGTGTAGCAAAGAGTGTTTTCTATTTAAGATGCCGCCTTGGCATCACCCAGAGCCGGAGCTCGGTGGCTGCGGGTTTACCTGGCTGTGTACACGGCGGGGAGGCTGTGCCCTGGGGCTCTCGCCTGGCAAGCTTTGCCGGGAGGACAGCGGAGGGGTGCTCCCGCCTGTCCCCAGCGGCCGGCCGCTGGCCTGAGACACGGCCCAGGTCGTTTCCTGTTCTGGCTCCTCGGCCCCGTCTCATGGGCCGGGTCTAGCGTTCTCAGAAACCTGGACCTTCTGACGAGACCTCCTCTCTGGTCTCTGGCAGACCCGTCCCCTCTCGAGGGGCAGTGCCTGTGGCCTGTCCCCACGGCCTCTCCAGATGGCCCCACAGCGATAACCGGTGCTCCCAGGTTTCTGGCCCTCAGCCCTGGTGCTGGGCCCCCTTCCTGCTCTGCTGTGACAGGCCTGGTGGAGGCAGAGGACCAGGGAAGGGCCCCGTCCTCCGGCGGTGCAGCTCAGTGACACGATGCTCCTCCCTCCCTCTGAAATCTTTGATGAGTCCCAAGCCTGCCGCACTGCCTGGAGTTGGGCCAGATGGTCGCTCTGTACAGGACCCATGGGGCTCTGGGGTCTGGTGCCGAGGGCCCGAGAGCACATGCTAGGAGGCCTCAGGCAGGCCCCCGTCACAGCTGACCCTCGAGGATGCCGGGGTGTCCCCCAGGCCAGGGGAAGGCGCCAAGGAAGGGGTCCAGACCCGTTTGGCGTCTCTTTCTCAAACAGGCGTCTGCTCAGGCTGGGCTTCACGGTTGGGTGTGGGGTGCTCACAGGAAGATTAATCATCTCTCCTGTCTCTGTCCCCCATTTCCTCCGCAGGGGGGCTTTCTCTGTGGTCCGGCGCTGTGTCAAGCTCTGCACCGGCCATGAGTATGCAGCCAAGATCATCAACACCAAGAAGCTGTCAGCCAGAGGTACGCATGGGCTGTGTCGGCGTGGGCCAGGCTCTTGCAGGCACAGAGCTCGGCCGGATGTGAGTGGTGTGCCCCTGGCCCGATGGGGGAGGGACAGCGGCAAGAGGGAGCTGTACCCTCATGCTGGGATTGCACCTTGACTACTGGTCTGGGGGCTTAGGGAGGGCTGGAGGCGGCAGTCCTTGGAGGCCTGAAGACTGGTGGTGACAGGGCTGCCAGCATGACCCCTCCATGTCCTCTGCAGCAGGGGGCTGTCCGCCTGCGCTGGGAAGGGCTCTGGGATGCAGGGGGCTGTGGTACTAGGCTGCAGCTGGCCCTGGGCACATGGCCTCACCCCACCCACCCTGCACCCCCAAGCCCTTGCTGGGTGGTGGCCTGTTGTGTGCACAATGAACTCTGCTCTTTTGGGGTCCGTGTCGTGGGGTAGGACACAGGCAGGTGATTCATGTGCAGACTCAAGGGGCCGAGGGGCTGGGATCTGGGCAGGGGATCCAGCAGGGCCCCCAGAGGACCTTGTCGAGGTGGCAGCATGTGGGTCCCTCTGCTCCTCCAACCCCACGCTCAGAAGGAGGCCAGGTAACCCCTGGGCCCCAGGTGCTCTCTTGCCTCTCAGGGGACCCCCAGTGAGTGTCTAGACACAGGCTCCTTCTCTGACCGAAGGGGTGCTGGGTGTAGGCAGTGCTGGTCTGAGTCTCCCCCAGACTGGGGCTGAAAGTCACCTCAGTCTGTGGGCTCTGGGCCCTGCAATGGACAGTCCAGCAGGGCAAGCAGTTGAGCCCACCCTGCGCCATTTTTTGAGTTGCATCCAGGCATTGTTTGGGCGCCTGTTGTGTACCAGACCTTCAGCACTCCTGTCCCTGCTAACGGTGCGGAGCCTGCAGTGCCAGCCAGGGACAGTCCCATGTCCTCTGTTTGCTGTGTGTGTTGGAGCCTGAGCACCACGTGGGGAGGCTCTGGGGAGATCCAGAAGCACAAGGTCCCGACTGTCCCTTGATGGCGAGGGAGCAGCTTGGGGGACTGCCTGGCTTGGGCCTGGCGTGGTGAGGGGGCCGGAGGGGCTGACTCTGTGAGGCCTGTGCGCCCGCACAGCTCAGCCCCCATGTTTGGGCTGTGGCGGTAACGATAGTGCTAAAGCAGTGTGGCTAAGCACTTCCTGAATGCGTGTGCCGCTGCGTCCCCTACACTGGGTGGGGGTGCTGGTGGGATGCCGGCTTTAACCAGGTTTTGGGGGCTATGTCTGCACACGTGGAGTCTGTAAGGCAGGTGGAACACAGGCTTGTTCCTGGCCACAGCGAGAGGATAGAGTCTACCCTCAGATGTCCCCCAGACTAGTGAGGGAGACCCTCACTCATCTGTCAGGTTTACTCAGCCTCTCCCACATGCCTGGCCTTGAGCAAACACATCCACAGAAGCCACTACAACTGCATGTGTGGGATGTGAGCACCAGGGAGGGTCTTGAGGAGTGAATAGGAGTTTGTGAGGCTCAAGCAGAAAAGCATGTGGGTATATTTCTATGGAATCATGCAGCTCCTCTAAACTACCGTCACACTCTCCGGTTTGGTTGGTGGTTTATTTTTTAATGTTTTGTTTTATTTTTGAGAGAGAGCGTGCGAGAGCTAGAGAGGGCATTGTACGAGTGGGGGAAGGCAGAGAGACAGAAAGACACAGACTCTGAAGCAGGCTCCAGGCTCTGAGCTGTCCGCACAAAGCCTGACATGGGGCTTGAACTCACAAACCATGAGATCATGACCTGAGCTGAAGTCAGACATTTAACCAACTGAACCACCCTGGTGCAGTAAAAAAAAAAAAAAAAAGAAAGTTTCTTTTTGAGAGAGAGAAAGCATTGTATTTTCATACACATATTGGCTATTTGTCTATCCTTTTTATTAATGTTTGTTTACTTTTGGAGAGAGAGATGGGGAAGGTGAGAAAGAGAGAGAGGTCTGAGCAGGGGAGGGGCAGAGAGAGAGGGAGACACAGAATGGGAAGCAGGCTCCAGGCTCCAAGCTGTCAGCACAGAGCCTGATGCAGGGCTTGAACACACAAACCATGAAATCATGACCTGAGCCGAAGTTGGACGCTTAACCAACTGAGCTGCCCAGGCGCCCCACCCTCCCCACCCCTGGGTTTATACCTGCAAAGTGCTCCACATGCAGGGAGGGCCAGGATGGGCAAGGCCTACAATGGAGGTATATTCCGCCTGCTCATTCCTCTGCCCCTGCCGCAGTGTGCCTGCTGGCCCCTTCATGACCAACAGCTGCTTTTCGGCCTCTGTGTCGCTGCGGCCAGGCCCCTGGAGGCCCCACCAGTGGTGCTGCCACAGAGCTGAGCGGACCCTGGTGCCCTGCCCCAGGCCAGTGTCCTCGCGGGGTGCCGCTGGGGACGGGGAGTGGTAATTGGAGAGGCTGGCCCTGTTACCTCCGCGGCACCCCGCACCGTGGTCGTCTTGGACTATTTTTTCCTGCGTAACTCTTTATTATGGAAAATTTCAAACATCCCCAGATCTAGGGAAAATGACAGAACGATCCCCCAACTTCAGCATTTGTCAGCTCTCAGCTCCATCTGTAGCCCCACACCCCCATCTCGCAGCACGTCCCAGACGGCCTGTCACTTTGCACATGGCGTTCAGCGCGTTCCTCTGGCACAAAAGGAGTCTGCAGACAGCTGGCCGCCTCCCTGCGACCGGGGTCTCGGCATCCCCGGACCCTTCCCAGCCCCTCCCGGCTTTCCTAGTTGAGGGGGCAGTGGGAGGGGTGAGGGGACAGGGTCTCCGCCCTGCGCTTGGTCTCGACACCACGTGCCCACCCTGTACCTCAGTTTCCCCAGCCATAAAAGAGGGATGAAGCTAGTACGTATTTGTCCCTGGCCATGCAGTATGAGGAGAAGGTGCTTGGAAGGAACTCATGGGCAGAGTGCTGCCTGAGACCTTCCCTCTCCACCTTGCTCCCCTTTCCGGTTAGAGGTCTGCCCGCCCAGCCTCCAGATCCCAGTACCCCATGAAGCTGCCCTGGAAATCCTCAAGCTTGTGGGCATTTCCCCACCAACCACTCACTGCTGGAGGGCACTCACAGCTGGTTTATTCTCTGCACCTCTCTGCTCCCAGGTGAGAGCTGCCCTCTCCGTGAAGCTCCTGGGGCCAGCTTTCACAAAGCCTGAAGTTCTCACCTGGCTTAATGCTGCTGTCTGGCCCTGTCTTCTCTCTCCCTCTCCGGACCTTTTCTCCAGCCCTTGGCTTCTTCCAAGTGTTTCCAGGCACCCCTGGGCCTTTGCACATGTATTCTCTCTGGAGATGCTTTTCCCGAACTTCTGTCTGCTTAACTTGTGTTGATGGCGTTTCCTCCAAGGGGTCTCCCTGATCCTCTAGTGGAATCTGGGACCCAGACACCCTGTTTTTATTCCACTGCTGTCTTTCCCACTGGACTTCCAGGCCCTGTGGGTGGGGACTTCGTTCAGTACTCTGTCCTTGCCAGGGCCTGGTGGGGGGTGAGCGCTCCATAAAGGCTTCTGGTGGAAGGAACACGAGCTTTTGTTGGGTGACCTTTGAGGAGACACGCGTATGCTAGGGCAAGTAGTGCCTGGGTTGTGAGGCCGAGAGGGGGGTGAGGGGGGGTGTCTTGGGCATTTGCTGCCGTGTCGGGTCTGCAGGGGAGGCCCCTGGTCATCCTGGACATACAGACACCTAAGCCTTTGGGATGTCCAAGTTGCACTGTGTTTCTGTGGCAAAGCCCAAGGGGGGGCGGGGCAAGGCCTGGCTGTCACCCTGTGGTTGTCCCTTCAGGGTCAGAGAGAGTGTCCTGAGCCAGGGCTCCCACCCTGCCAGGTGGCCGGCTCCATCACCAGGAAGACCACGTCAGAGATGTGTGCCCAGCTGTTGTCCTTCTGGGAGTAGGGGACGGAGGGGGGCCCATGGCAGGGAGGAGGGTGCAGGGGGGGGTGGAGGACTGGACCCAGAGACCTTGCCCCCACCTTCATTTCCGCTGTTGCTCGAGTCCAGAGCAGTGTGGAGGGGCTACATCTCCGCTGGGAGCAGCCACCGTCCTTCGAGGTTCCTGAGGGTAGGGAAGTGGCCGGCCACACACAGGGTGGAGGGTTCAGGAGGAGTGAGCTGGCACTGGACACACAGAACCCACCCTGGCCCAGGAACTGACTCTACCAGGAGCCACCAGGTCACCCGCACATGGCACCCAGCTAGGGGCAAAGACCTGTTTTGTATGTGATTAAGGAGGGTCTGAACACGCTGAGCTGATTATTAAAGACCCACTAACAAAAGGAGGTAGAGGGAAGTGAATTGTCTAGGGCAAGATCCATGGGGCACACAAGTCTCAAAAGCCTGTCTTGTTGTGGGCCCTGCCCCGGTTCCCGGGCAGCACCACATGGCCACTCTTTGGGGCAGTTTTGTTGTCTTTGAAGGGCAAACTGTGGGCCTGAGCCCTGAGCGACCCCGGGGGCAGAGACTCACCACAAGGGAGGAAAGACCATGCAAGGACTGGGGCCAGCAGCTGTTACTCCTTGACGATCAGCAGTACTGAATCTTCACGCGGCTTCTCAGTGCCCTTCCACATCCTCTGAGGTCCAGGGTGGGCACCTGTTTCTCAGTAACACACAGCTTTGACGAGCAGAGCCTGGGGCACCCTGAGGCACCAGCAGCTTCAGATTTCATCCAGCCAGGAGGGATGATGGTTGACCTCACAGGTGGGAACCGGCCTCACAGGTAGGATTCACCTTCTAGGTGGGGGGCTGACCTCACAGATGAGGGGACTGAAGTAACAGGTGAGATCAGGGCTCACCTCTGGGCCTCCTCTCACCCCCAAGCTGATGCCCAGCTCACCCCCAGCTCCCTGCCTGGGTCCCCTGGGGCCACCCTCTCCTTAGGGCCCTGTGGCCCCTGTGCTTTGGGGGCACCCCCACTGGAAGGTGTGATGGGAAAGGAGCTTAGCCCGCCCCGTCTCTCCCCAGGAAACCTGACCACCTGGCCCACACTGGGAAAGGAGCTGAGGTGGGGGGGGGGGGAGTCAAGGGGTGTGGGAAGGGGGCCCGGCAAGGGGGGCAGGGAGGGCGGGAATGGGGCTTTCCCTTTTCCTGCGGCAGCCTTTCCGGCAGGCCCCCTGACCCACAGGCTGCAAGACAACTGGACTCTGTGGAACTGGGTTAACGCAGGACAGGATGCCGCCGCATTGCAGAGGCCTTTGAGCATGCGCAGCCAGGGCCCCTCCCTCCCTTTCCTTCCTGCCCTCCCAGCCACGACCCTCCTCCCCCCCCCCTCCCCACCGTTCCCCTCCTCTAGTCCAGACCCCTCTCATCTCCTCCTTCAGACCACTCTCTGCCAGGCTCTACCCCTCCCCTCTCTTCTGCTCCCCCTTCCTCTCCCTTCCCCTTCCCAGCCCCGGGAACCTCTTCCTTGCCTTCTCCCTCCACTCAGGCTCCTGGACCCAGCACCCCCTCAGGCAGCCCCTCCACTCCACTCAGCCCTGTCCCCAGGCTCCTCCCAGGCCAGGGGCTGAGCAACAGCCTCACAGTCTAAGCGGGTCCCAATTTCAGATAAACAATGATTTTTTTAGAGTACGTATGTCCCAGACCCCAGACCAACATTTAGTTCACTCTGCCCTCACGTGGGGGTTCCCCGGGCACCCTGCACAGTGGGAGGGGTCACCCCAGGGACTTGGAGGATGGGTGGGAAGGGGGTTTCTCCCTCTGGGCCCTCCCCTTCCACAGCCCCGGTCTCTCGAGTTTCTGTTGCAGGGCCTTGGGCTAATGAGGAATTGGGGGCCCCCTGTGCAAGTGAGGGGGGGTAACAAGAGGAGTTGGGGCTGGGGACCCTCATTCCTGAGTCAGAGGAGGAGGGGGACAGGCAGGGTTGCCACATTTAGCAGTTAAATTTGAATTCCAAATAGACCATGAAAAAAAACCTGAATAGAAACTTGGCCCAAACTGAATGGCACCTCCACTAGAAAAGTATTCATTGTTTATCTGAATTTGGGCCATACATATGCTAAAAAATTCTTGTTGGTTATCTGACAATTCAAATTAGTTAGTTATCTGAGATTCAAATTTAACTGGACATTCCGTGGTTCCTTAGACAATGCTAAACAGAGCTGTTTTTGTGATTAATCTACTGAATAGACCAAATCAGAGTTTCTGGAAATGGGGGCAGGGTGGGGGAGGAGGGCCCAGGGCAAGAGCAGAAAAGGAAAAGGCGCAGAGGCCAGGCTGTGCCCATGGGGGTCCTGGTGGACACTCCCTCCCCATTCTTGGTGGCCTCGCGGATGATGAGGTGGAGAGCCTGGGCCTCCTGCTTCTGGGGTTTGGTGATTCTGGGGTGTGGCCACCTCTGTGGAAGCCGAGTCCATCCCAGGGGCTTGGGGAGCTGCTGACCTGAGGCCTGAGTGGGGTCAGGCAGCCGCAGGGGTCACCCCTTTGAGTTGTGGAGGCTTGGGAGAAGGTGAGGGCCGGGGTTACCAGGAGGGCCCGTTGGCCTGCCTGCCACTCCCCAGATCTGAAGGGGTCCTCACCACCACTGCCCGCTCCATATGCACCAAGGGCCCCCTGGAGGTGGGTGCAGGGTCAGAGGAGCGTTTCTGGCCGGCACAGCTGCAGCCTCTGGCCCCAACCTTCTGGCTCAGTGGGTCCCGGAGGCCTTGCGGAGTCCGGGCTTGTCTTTGAGCAGAATGAGGACGGGTAAGCGGTGCACTGTTTGGGGCCGTGCCCGTGCAGAAGGCACTCGGTCTCTGCCCATTGCCGAGAGCATGTCCTTGCAGTGGTGCCCAGGAAGCATCACGGCAGCTGTCCTGGGGCTGGGCTGTGATGAGACCCTACCCAGTAGCACTTGCAGCACCCAGGTTGTGGAAGGAAGTAGGAAAGGAGGTGGCCACTGGGGGGCTCCTGTGTCACCACACCCCCTTGCTCTGGAAGGTGACAGGGTCCCATTTCATGGTCGAAGAAACTGAGGATTTCAGAGGAAAGTCACCACTGGTGAGCATGGGGCCCTACCTGAGGGTCATGGACATGAGCAAACACAGGACACTGACCCTGGATGGCCAGAAGTGGCTCAGCGCCCAGGGAGGGCACTGCACGTCACGCGGGTACATGGGACACACTTGGGAATAGCGTGGGCAGCCTGGGCTGTGGGAGGCAGGCTTTGCGGTGACAGGAGAGTGGGGTGTCCCTGATGTCCGTCGTGGGACATGATCAGCTTCTGTGAATGATTTTTCTCTGGCAGGGGGGTGGGAGGGCACCGTGCCCGGCCTGCCTGGGGCAGTGGCTGTGGGGTGGGGGGACTTCACATGGGAGCAGAGGGGGCAGGAAGCCCACAGCTACGTTGCATGGGTGTTGGGGTCCCAGTCTCAGTCCTTGCTGCATTGCAGGGCCTGTGGCTCATGTGGGGTGGTGGCCCTGAGCCCGAGGAAGGAGTGAGGAAGGCCTCAGTGCAGCGGGGGGGCCAACTGGAGGCAGGGAGGCAGGCTCTGGGGACCCAGCTGCCACATGGCCCTATGTGGCCTGCGAACAGCTCAGAGGCCTTAGTGCTGCTGTGTGGGTGGAGCCCAGTGGCTTGTCTTTGTCCCAGAGGCAGCTGCAGGGTGGCACGGACGCCCTTGCGGGGTGGGGCAGCTGCCTGATGTCGGCGCTCTAATTGCTGGTTGCCCAGTTGCCGTTTTAGAACAAAACATGCGAAGCCTGTGACGGGAGCTCTCTTCATCTCTGTCACTCCTCCGGCACGCGGCCACGGCGGCAGCACGACTGCAGGAAACACCACAGGGCGGCTGGGGCCTTCCCCCACTGCTGCCCGCACTCGGGCTCTGGTGCCAGCCCTCCCCACACCCCCCGTGCCCTCCAGCCGCACCCCCACCCTCACTGTGCCCTGTGCCCCACCTGAAAGTTGGGGCAACTGGAATAGCCCTACTTTGTGGGGAGCCCCTGGCAGCCTGAGGGGCCTGTGCGAAGCAAACAGCAAACGCTGCCCCGAGGTGGACCCTGCCCCGCCTCTGGGTTCGGCTGATTTGTCCACATTTCCCAGCCCCGTGAGTCCCGTCAGCAGGCCAGACCCAGACTTTGCATCCTTCCTGAAACCAGTGCTCTCCGGGAAGCCGATGGTTAGGGATACCAGTGTCAGCAGGTGCTCAGAACTTGCCCATCTTCTGTGACACGCTCTTCCCCAAGCCACCCGGCCCTCCCAGGGACCCTGGAGGTGTGAATGCCCAGGACAGAGGCCCAGAGCTACCGGGTTGTTGGCTTGGCTTCCACGGCTGCATCTCTTGGGGCTTTGAGAACTTGGAACACCAGAGTTCCAGGGTTGATATTTGGCCTGTGTGCAGAGTGATGTGGATATCCATGAGCCTCCTAAGGTTCTAGAAAGCTCCCTGTTGCAGTCTGATAGTGCAGGCATGGAGATGGCTGGGAGTGAAGGGTCGGAGCCTCTCAAAGACGTCCCAGGGCCTAGTGCAGCCTGTCCCCTGGGGCACAGGTCCTTTCTGCTTCCCAAGAACAGAAACCAGGGACCAAGGATCTGGGGACACCTGCCAGGGTTTCTCCCTTGATGGGGCTGGAGGAGGGAAGTGGGACGAACAGCCCAGGTGCCCAGCTCTGCAGAACAGGCTGGGGGAGGGGCGGAGGTGGGGGCTGCGGGCTGCGGTCTCCATTCTTTCGGGGCCCCTCCTGGAACCTCCCCCCCCTTTTCACACACGGGAAACGGACTCAGAGTGAGGTCTGGCTTGGTTCAGGGCCTCATGTCCAGCGTCCCGTTGGCCACCAGAGGCTGGGACACAGGCACCCCGTAGCTCGATGGTGCTGGTCTGGGGTCACTGCCGATTTGGCCTGGAGGGAGCAGGAGCCTGAGTAGCTCCAGGCCCTGTGGACCCCAGGCTGGATGCAGGGTGTGGACCAGGGAGCCAGCTCCCCCCACCCCTGACTGAAGGCTATGGCTCCCCCCAAGGGAGCCACCCCCTGAGGTGGTCAGCACCTGGCATCCCTGGGGCTCTGTTTCTGCCTGGTGCGTAGCCCCGAGCTGACAGCGAGGCAGCCCTGTGACTGCCCACCCCATGTGCCCCCCCAGCACTGTTCCATGTCTCCCTCTGGGGCCAGGCCACACACATACTCCCACACCCCACAGCCCAAGGGCTGGCTGTCCTCTCCTAGGGCCTTGGTGGACCCTCCTGTGTCCATGCAGACGTGCATGGTGACCCTAGGGCAGGGGCCTGACCTGACGCAGATCCCCACAGGCTCTGTCCAGGAGCTAGTAGATTGGGTGGAGGATCCTGATGGCAGCCGACGTGACCTGTGACCTCGGCCAGACATGTGCCAGCCTCCTAGCCCTGCTGTCCCTGCGTCCCCAGGACGTCCTCCAGGCTGGAAGGAGGGGAGCTGAGGAGGCCCATGGAGCCCCTGTGCTGGCATGGCCTCCCAGGACAGTGCCTGTCCTGTCCCAGGGGTCCTTGGGGGGCCCAGCAGCCACCCTCCAAGCCTCCACTGCCTGCTGGGCCGTGTGGACTTCCCATGTGGTATTTCGTGTTCCACCCAGCACGACTGGCAGTTACCCCTACTTCCCGAGAGGTGGCCTCACCTGTCCCCCACCAAGCCTGGGAGGGGACATGGCTGATGGCTCCTCTTCTAGGGGGGCTTTTCCCCGCCTTCATCCCTCCTCCACCCACACCACCACCTCACGGGTGTCCTTCTGCCACTGCTCCTGGCAGCTGACGTGGGA